TAACGTGCTTGTCTTGGAAGCTAGACGTAGATATGTAAGAATACTTAGCAAGAGGGTAAATATAAAAATGTTGTGGATTCCTTCTCACATTGGCATGCAGGAACATGACAAAGTTCCTTGCAGCCCTTGCTAAGGCTGCAGTAAATAAAGACAGTATTGAATGGAATCTTGAGTTATCAAATAGGTCCCTTAAAAGTGTCATTAGACGAGAACTCCTAGATGGATTTGAAGAAAGTAGAACAGTGCAAACTGGAACTAGTAGGTCCATTGTTCATCACAATGAAATGTGTGAAGTAAAACATGTGTATGGGGCAAGTAACAAAGTCAGTAGACTAACAGATGTTGTCACAGCTCGTATAAGACTTGGCTACAAGTATCTCTGGCAGTTCGGCTTGTATAGGGATCTAGATGAAGTAAAGTGTAAAGTGTGTGGACATAGGCAGGGACACACACTCGAACACTATATCTTGGATTGTTGTAAAATTGAGCCTTTTAGAGATAAGTCTAAGCTCACTCTGTATGATATGGCAACCTATCTTATTACCATGGATAAATTACCTGAAATCCTTGCACTGTACCCACATTTTGCTTCCAGTAGATGAACGACATATGAGATTCAGAAACAAGTAGTGTATTGTGAGGACTAATAATAAACAGAAGCTCCCCTATGACTCTGTAATATCCCCATTGGCCAAACTATTATGTATTAACGATAAGACCTACCATTAATGTATGATGACTTACTGTAAATATGTAGCTCTTGTAATAGCACTTTCTCTTACTGTCAGCAAGACGCCAGGACCACTGACAACTACTGTCAGTAAGACGCCAGGACCACTGACAACTACTGTCAGTAAGACGCCAGGACCACTGACAACTACTGTCAGTAAGACGCCAGGACCACTGACAACTACTGTCAGTAAGACGCCAGGACCACTGACAACTACTGTCAGTAAGACGCCAGGACCACTGACAACTACTGTCAGTAAGACGCCAGGACCACTGACAACTACTGTCAGTAAGACGCCAGGACCACTGACAACTACTGTCAGTAAGACGCCAGGACCACTGACAACTACTGTCAGTAAGACGCCAGGACCACTGACAACTACTGTCAGTAAGACGCCAGGACCACTGACAACTACTGTCAGTAAGACGCCAGGACCACTGACAACTACTGTCAGTAAGACGCCAGGACCACTGACAACTACTGTCAGTAAGACGCCAGGACCACTGACAACTACTGTCAGTAAGACGCCAGGACCACTGACAACTACTGTCAGTAAGACGCCAGGACCACTGACAACTACTGTCAGTAAGACGCCAGGACCACTGACAACTACTGTCAGTAAGACGCCAGGACCACTGACAACTACTGAAAAACTAGTTGATTGTCCCTTAAGACAGGAAGTATGAGGTTACCGCCTATGGAGGTAGCCTTGTCCTGGTAGCCTACTTGTCCTTCGCTTCGGTAGAGGAGGTCAGTGTTGGTGCATAGGCATTGATGAGGCTGACCATTCCTACTGCTGTATGAAGCTGAAGTTTGATGATCCTTGCAGACCCCTCCATAGGCGGTACTCTGGTCCCTAACAACCTGTTCCTGATGGCAAAGCCAACACCATGCTCCCTTACCTCTTCTGGTGGTTTGCCCTGCCAGAAGAAGGTAAAGTCCTTCTCCCGTATGCTGCCGGTTGCGGGCAGACGTGTCTCCTGCAGGGCGACTATGTCCATCTGGAGCCTGTGCAGTTCATTGTTGATCACAGCTGTCTTGCGGGCGTCGTTCACTTCCAGTAGATCTTCCGAGAGACCCGGTGTCATGGTCCTGACATTCCATGTGCCCAGTTTGAGAGCTGGGTGGCTCTGTGTTTGTTTTCTTCTGCCTGGTGCATGGTTGACGATCCGCTTGTTGGATTGTGGCCTAAGCCAACGCACCCAGTGGAGCAGGCGGACCGTGGCGGGACAGCACCTTATAGGCTGGGGGCTGCCCAAATTGAGGCGGGCGGTAGCTGTCTTATGAAATCGGATGATTTCTCCCACCGACGGAAGCAACCCCTGGCGCCTTACTCTACGCCAATTGAGTGGTAGGCTTATCACCGGTAACTGTCACTTCCCGTGTTGAGCCATCGCCAAGGCGATGCTGGAGTGTCCTTTCCAGGACACAGGCCTGGGCAGTAATTATGGATGATCAGCTGTTGCCCATGCAGCAGATCCACCCTCTCCACGCCACCGATGTGATCCAAGGGAAGGGCAGGCGCCGATACGCTTGGCACCAGTGTCGTCGCAGGAGTTGCCAGAATGTAGCTGTAAACAGCTGCAAACTGCCTTAGGGACTCCGACTCCGGATTTTTCCTCAGGGTTGACTCCCGAAGTCTTTCCCATGAGTGGGTTTAGCCACAAGACAGCAGAGGTTTGAATTCGGGGTATTCCTTTCCCTAGATGAGCTGCCTTTCCAGGCTAACGAGACCCATCTGCCTGAAGCAACTGGTTTTAAGGTGCCAGAGACCCGCCTTCGCCCCTTCTCCTGTTGGTAGAAGCAGTTCCGCCAGACCTAGAGGCTAAGCCACATGTGCAGGCCAGGAGCTGGACTTGGTTGTCAGAGGCTATATGAGACGCACGCCATCAGGGGCACTTTACAGGCTGTGGGAGCTTATCTCTACAACCGTTCCCCCCGGCTATAACAACCCTTGGAACCTAAGAGATGAGGCTACAAGAGGACATAGACAAACTGAATGAATGGTCCAGCAATTGGCTACTAAAGTTCAACCCGAGTAAATGTAAGGTAATGAAGCTAGGCGGTGGAAACAGGAGGCCAGTCACAGGATACCGAATGAGAGATGAAGTTCTCCATGAAACGGACAGAGAGAAAGATCTAGGAGTTAATATCACACCAAACCTGTCTCCTGAAGCCCACATGAAAAGATTAACATCTGCGGCGTATGCGAGGCTGGCTAACATCCGACTGCCTTCGGAACGTGTGTAAGGAATCATTCAGAACCTTGTATACCACATATGTAAGACCAATCCTGGAGTATGCGGCCCCAGCATGGAGCCCGTACCTTGTCAAGCAAAAGACGAAGTTGGAAAAAGTTCAGAGGTATGCCACTAGGTTAGTCCCAGAACCAAGAGACATGAATTACGAGGAAAGGTTGCGTGAAATGCAACTCACGACACTGGAAGACAGAAAAGTAATAGGAGACATGATCACTACCTACAAAATTCTTTAAGGAATTGACAGGGGTTGAAAAAGATAAACTATTTAACACGAATGGTACGCGAACAAGGGGACACAGGTGGAAACTGAGTACCCAAATGAGCCACAGGGACGTTAGAAAGACCTTTTTCAGTGTCAGAGTAGTTAACAGGTGGAATGCCTTAGGCAGTGATGTGGTGGAGGCTGACTCCATACACAGTTTCAAATGTAGATATCATAGAGCCCAGTAGACTCAGGAATCTGTACACCAGTTGATTGACAGTTGAGAGGTGGGACCAAAGAACCAGAGCTCAATTCCCACAAGCACAACTAGATGAGTACAACTAGGCGAGTACAATACCACTACAATAGTGTTCCCACACTCAACTGCTGCATCAACAATCTTGCACCTGCACCAACAATCTTGCACCACTACAATAGTGGTCCCACACTCAACTGCTGCACCAACAATCTTGCACCACTACAATAGTGTTCCCACACTCAACTGCTGCACCAACAATCTTGCACCACTACAATAGTGTTCCCACACTCAACTGCTGCACCAACAATCGTGCACCACTACATATATGGTGTTGCTGCACCAACAATCGTGACTGTCACCACCAGACCAGCGAGGCCAGGAGCCAGTAGTAACGAGGAAGGAGCTCAAGCCAGCCTCCTTATCGTCTCATAATGGCGGAACACCGATACTTAATCGTGTAAAAACACGTTTGGATGTTGCTGGAATGTTGGGAACACGTTAAGGACAACATTAACATAATCTGGAGTGACTTTTGTCTTGTATATTTAACTAAGAACATTGTTCATAGTAATGTGGCGGCAGTAGACTGTAGCGACCAGCAACTGTTATCATGAGATACTGATGATAACAGCAGATAACTGTGGCGCTGCAACACAGCCAGTGTCAGTGATAACGGGCCAGGGTTAGCCAGCACCAGTACTGGCGTTGACTTAGTTAACTTGTGAGTGATTACTAGTGAGGCTCTGTTGACCTGTGTTGATGACTAGTGAGGCTCTGTTGACCTTTCTTGATAACTAGTGAGGCTCTGTTGACCTTTCTTGATAACTAGTGAGGCTCTGTTGACCTGTGCACTGTTGGCTCTGTTGACCTGTGTTGATGACTAGTGAGGCTCTGTTGACCTGTGTTGATGACTAGTGAGGCTCTGTTGACCTGTGACCTGTGTTGATGACTAGTGAGGCTCTGTTGACCTGTGTTGATGACTAGTGAGGCTCTGTTGACCTGTGTTGATGACTAGTGAGGCTCTGTTGACCTGTGTTGATGACTAGTGAGGCTCTGTTGACCTGTGTTGATGACTAGTGAGGCTCTGTTGACCTGTGTTGATGACTATTGGGGCTTTGTGTACAGATCTATCAGCAGCTGCTGACAGTGGAGCAGGCTGGCTATGCTGACCTGAACATCAGCAGCAGCAGACAGTTGATCCCAGAAAATCGTCAGAGACAGTGGACGGAGTGGTCCTGGCGTCTTACTGACAGTAGTTGTCAGTGGTCCTGGCGTCTTACTGACAGTAGTTGTCAGTGGTCCTGGCGTCTTACTGACAGTAGTTGTCAGTGGTCCTGGCGTCTTACTGACAGTAGTTGTCAGTGGTCCTGGCGTCTTACTGACAGTAGTTGTCAGTGGTCCTGGCGTCTTACTGACAGTAGTTGTCAGGAGATGGACCACACTGGGGCCAGGAGTGGTCCTGGCGACGACAGTAGTTGTCACACTGACAGTAGTTGTCAGTGGTCCTGGGTCTTACTGAGTAGTTGACCACACTGTCCTGGGCCAGGAGTCTTACTGACAGTAGTTGTCAGTGGTCCTGGCGTCACTGACAGTAGTTGTCAGGAGATGGACCACACTGGGGCCAGGAGACGCCACACTGACAGTAGTTGTCAGGAGATGGACCACACTGGGGCCAGGAGACGATACAAGGCCACACAGGTAAGCAACTCTCAGCTCTTACTGCACTTTCCTCTCTGTTCATACAATCGTAAATGTATTTTCATCAAATGTCATACAGGAAATGGGACATATTACTTATAATAATGTAAAAATCTAATCAATTTGTAACACTTAAAATATTTAAGATTTTTTAATTAATATTATTACATTGGGGGCATATAAATTGCTGTCATTAGCTTGAACAGGAGCCATCCTCTGATGTCATTCCTTCCATTGTTGGTGTTGAAGACCACTGCATAATGTGTTAAAGTCCCCAGCATTGTTGGTGTTGAAGACCGTTGCATGATGTGTTAAAGTCCCCAGCATTGTTGGTGTTGAAGACCACTGCATGATGTGTTAAAGTCCCCAGCATTGTTGGTGTTGAAGACCACTGCATGATGTGTTAAAGTCCCCAGCATTGTTGGTGTTGAAGACCGTTGCATGATGTGTTAAAGTCCCCAGCATTGTTGGTGTTGAAGACCGTTGCATGATGTGTTAAAGTCCCAGCATTGTTGGTGTTGAAGACCACTTGTTGGTGTTGAAGACCGCTGCATGATGTGTTAAAGTCCCCAGCATTGTTGGTGTTGAAGACCGTTGCATGATGTGTTAAAGTCCCCAGCATTGTTGGTGTTGAAGACCGCTGCATGATGTGTTAAAGTCCCCAACATTGTTGGTGTTGAAGACCGTTGCATGATGTGTTAAAGTCCCCAGCATTGTTGGTGTTGAAGACCACTGCATGATGTGTTAAAGTCCGCATCATATTTTATTTTCTTAGTATAAATAAAAATATTTTAGATATAGTGTTAACTAACAGGGAACACAAATTAATGACATCGAAATTAAGGAGTGAACTAGGGATACATACACTCATACCCCCCGTGTGAGTGTATATGTGTGTGTGTGTGTGTAATTACCTAAGTGTAGTTACAGGATGAGAGCTACGCTCGTGGTGTCACGTCTTCTCAGCACTCTCTGTCATATAACGCTTTGAAACTACTGACGGTCTTGGCCTCCACCACCTTCTCACCTAACTTGTTCCAACCGTCTACCACTCTGTTTGCGAAAGTGAATTTTCTTATATTTCTTCGGCATCTGTGCTTAGCTAGTTTAAATCTATGACCTCTTGTTCTTAAAGTTCCAGGTCTCAGGAAATCTTCCCTATCGATTTTATCAATTCCTGTTACTATTTTGTATGTAGTGATCATATCACCTCTTTTTCTTCTGTCTTCTAGTTTTGGCATATTTAATGCCTCTAATTTCTCCTCGTAGCTCTTGCCCTTCAGTTCTGGGAGCCACTTAGTAGCATGTCTTTGCACCTTTTCCAGTTTGTTGATGTGCTTCTTAAGATATGGGCACCACACAATATCTTAATATATTGTGTGTGTGTGTGTGTGTGTGTGTGTGTGTGTGTGTGTGTGTGTGTGTGTGTGTGTGTGTGTGTGTGTGTGTGTGTGTGTGTGTGTGTGTGTGTGTGTGTGTGCTTGTGTGTAATTATCTAAGTGTAATTACCTAAGTGTAGCTACAGGATGAGAGCTACGCTCGTGGTGTCCCGTCTTCCCAGCACTCTTTGTCATATAACGCTTTGAAACTACTGACGGTCTTGGCCTCCACCACCTTCTCACCTAACTTGTTCCAAACATCTACCACTCTGTTTGGGAAAGTGAATTTTCTTATATTTCTTCGGTATCTGTGCTTAGCTAGTTTATATCTATGACCTCTTTTTCTTTAAGTTCCAGGTCTCAGGAAATCTTCCCTATCGATTTTATCAATTCCTGTTACTATTTTGTATGTAGTGATCATATCACCTCTTTTTCTTCTGTCTTCTAGTTTTGGCATATTTAATGCCTCTAACTTCTCGTAGCTCTTGCTCTTCAGTTCTGGGAGCCACTTAGTAGCATGTCTTTGCACCTTTTTCAGTTTGTTGATGTGCTTCTTAAGATATGGGCACCACACAACCGCTGCATATTCTAGCTTTGGCCTATCAAAAGTTGTGAACAATTTCTTTAGTATATCGCCATCGTGTGTGTGTGTGTGTGTGTGTGTGTGTGTACTCACCTATTTGTACTCACCTATTTGTGCTTGTGGGGGTTGAGCTTTGGCTCTTTGGTCCCACCATTTGCAGCTGTGTATGGAGTCAGCCTCCACCACATCACTGCCTAATGCATTCCATCCGTTAACTACTCTGACACTGAAAAAGTTCCTTCTAACGTCCCTGTGGCTCATGTGGGTACTCAGTTTCCACCTGTGTCCCCTTGTTCGTGTCCCACCAGTGTTGAATAGTTTATCCTTGTTTACCAGGTCGATTCCCCTGAGGATTTTGTAAGTAGTGATCATGTCTCCCCTTACTGTTCTGTCTTCCAGTGTCGTAAGGTGCATTTCCCGCAGCCTTTCCTCGTAACTCATGCCTCTTAGTTCTGGGACTAGTCTAGTGGCATACCTTTGGGCTTTTTCCAGCTTCGTCTTGTGCTTGACAAGGTACGGGCTCCATGCTGGGGCCGCATACTCCAGGATTGGTCTTACATATGTGGTGTACAAGATTCTGAATGATTCCTTACACAGGTTCCTGAACGCTGTTCTGATGTTAGCCAGCCTCGCATATGCCGCAGACGTTATTCTTTTTATGTGGGCTTCAGGAGACAGGTTTGGTGTGATATCAACTCCTAGATCTTTCTCTCTGTCCGTTTCATTAAGTACTTCATCTCCTATTCTGTATCCTGTGTCTGGCTTCCTGTTTCCACTGCCTAGTTTCATTACTTTGCATTTACTCGGGTTGAACTTCAACAGCCATTTGTTGGACCATTCACTCAGTCTGTCTAGGTCATCTTGTAGCCTCCGACTGTCATCCTCTGTTTCAATCCTCCTCATAATTTTTGCATCATCGGCAAACATTGAGAGAAACGAATCTATACCCTCTGGGAGATCATTTACATATATCAGAAACAGTATAGGTCCAAGGACTGACCCTTGCGGGACTTCATTCGTAATGTCTTGCCAATCTGAGACCTCACCCCCTCACACTGACTCGTTGTCTCCTGTTGCTTAGGTACTCCTTTATCCAATGGAGTATCTTCCCTTTCACTCCAGCCTGCATCTCCAGCTTTTTCACTAGCCTCTTGTGTGGTACTGTATCAAAGGCTTTTTGACAATTCAAAATGGGTGCAGTTTGCCCACCCTTCTCTTTCTTGCCTTATTTTTGTCTGTTGTTATGATCTCAGCCTGCAGGAGAAACGAGTCTCCCTTCTTGAGAGTTATTCAGCAAGCCTGACCTAACTAGAAGGTCTAGCAAGTATTGAGGTGATAACGCATATGTAAAATAGTTGGTTGGATATGTGTAACAGTTTGAGATTATGGGCAATGCAGAAGAAAATAGATAAATGACGGGCTAGGAGATGTGGACATTTTGCTGGAGGCGTGAGGCTCGCTTCTGGAGGACCTTGACCTCACTTGAGTGCCAGACATCGCAGGGGGAAGCCGCGCTCCGTTGAGCTCCCGTCAGAAGGGAACCCCTAGTGATATATCTCTAAGAGAAGAGAAGTGTGCAGACGTGCCAGCTGTGGAATCGAGCTGGGGACGTGTGGTCTCAAGTCGTGGACGATAATTAGTGAATATTAAGCCGCCCGGAGGCATTATTGTGGGCCGTGTGGAGCGCCCTGACCAGACGCCGTCAGAGGGAAAGCGCCCTCGACCAATTAATCTGTGGTAAGCACGATATACGCCAGTTCATAGTGATCGCTTGTAGTTGGTCGTGTGCCCAGCGACAGTAGCGATGTTTATTTATAGGTTAGACATGTTTTAATAAGGCAGAAGGCCTGAAATAGGAGAGTGAAGAGGGAGGAGCACGGAGCGACGTCCATCCCCTCTGAGCGCTGGCGGACGACTGAGGGAGCCTGGCTCCGGATGGAGGAAGACCCTCCCAGCGAGTGAGGACCGCCGCCAGGCGAGGTGGAGTATGGACCCGCCCAAAACGGGGGAGTCCACTCTCACTGTATGTAGAGGACAGATAGAGGTTTGAGGCAAGCATATTGTGTGGTTATTTTTGTTTATGTGTTAAAGGGGAACATTTTATTGGAACGTCGATGGGTTGCAGGTTTGTCTTTGGGGAAGAAGTTGCTGAGAACTTCGAAGCCAGCAGATGAAGTAGCTGATGAGACTCCAAGGTAGTGGAGCAGAGGACCTCGAGCTGTGAGGAGAAGCAGCAGTGAAGAGGAGTGTCACGTGCTTCTGTAGAGGTGGTGTAGCAGCCAAGAGAGCTGTGGAAGAACCTAACAGAAGGGTGAAGCACCGTAGTTGCACAAGGAAACTTCATGATAGCAGCCTGGAGGAGCTGCAGAGGATCCTGGTAGTGAAGCCCGGAAGAACCTAAGGATATTAGGGTTGTGAACTTCCAGAGGTGGAAGGGGAAGTTCTGGTGGATTACTAGTAGGGAGTTGATAGTGTTTGGTTGTCATTAGCGTGCAAGACGCAGTGAGAGGTGAGTGACTGTTGGCATTCTTATGTCAAGGAGTTTTTTATACTGAAGTATCAATGAACATTTATACTGGTATATGTTATTGCATTCAAATGCTGATTTTCTATATATATATGTTATCTTGCTGATGGTGCAACAGTGTATGTAGGCTTGATCAACTTGAGGAGGTTAATAGTATCAGGTGGTGAACCAGGAGATAGGATACCACTTGATAAGCTGATAATAGAGTTCTGATGGTGTTGGAGTGCAACCTGATTGTGATATTATAGAGTATAGGATTCATTATTATTATATGTGTGTATGTATCGTGTATGTGCTTTGTCCAGTAAATGTGTCACAATTTGCTGGTGTTTGCCCTTGTCCTAGTGAGGCTTCCCAGGAGGTAGTAAAGAAGGAGAGAGAAAGAACCAAGAACCACTGCTGTGGACAGGGTAAGAGGTAATACTAGTAAGTCATAGGGGATTGAGGAGATCATATCTCATAAGGAGAGAGTGGGGAGTCACAGCGGCTCGAGTGGGTGTGTGCACGTGAC